GAGTGTGGCTAGATAGGGGGGAGCATTACCCTGGAAGAAATGATAAACAAAGACGAGGATTTTGAATTGTGAGCGATAGCAAACCGGAAGCCAGTGCAGGGAGGCCAGAACCGGACTGATGTGGTCCCGTTTCCTGGTCCCAGTCAGGAACCTGGCTGCGCTGTTCTGCACAACCTGTAGGCGATGCAGTGATGACTGACACAACCCTGCACATAGAGAGCTGCAGTAATCAAGCCTAGAAATTACAAAGGCATGCAGTACCCACTCCAGGTGGGCTCTCGACAGCATATGCTTGATTTTTGCAAGGCGTCTCAGGTGAAAGAAACTGGACCGGATCACAGAATTGATGTTTGGAGAATGTGTTTAAGGGTTTTAGGGATCATCCATCTCTTCACCAAGTCAGGGTCCATCAAAGATTGCTCACAGCCAGAGTCAACTAGTGCCTCGAGAGTAAACTGCTCAGAATTAAAAAACACAAAACACTGGAGTATGCAACGGGAGCTCGCAGAGGCTGAGTTACTGCCCACCAGTAGTCCCGTCTTTACTGGTGGGCTCTGCCTTTTAGCAGTACTGAGTAGGCTCTAGCAAAGTGTCCAGACTCCCCACAATATAAACACAGACATGACCTTACACGATGTTCTCTCTCCTCCTGGGTGAGGCGAGTCCTTCCCATATGCATGGGTTCATCCGAGGAGGTGGGCTCTGTGGAGGAGCAAGGACCCGTACCATGATTACAGTCAGGAGTGGAGGCGGTTCTGGCACTAGAACTCTGGTGCCACAGCTCATGATGGCGCTTATCGATGGATATAGCCAGGCGAATGAATTCCTCCAGCGAACGGGGTTCCGGGCACAACGCCAGCTGGTTCCGGACTCGGTCGCTGAGGGACTCAGTGAAAGCAGCGAGAAGGGCATCTTCATTCCAGGAAGACCGTGCTGCCAAAGTTCGGAACTCCACCGACATATCCGCCACCGATCTCTGACCCTGCGATAAATTCCATAGCCGTTTTCTGATATCCGTAACGGACTCAGTACTGCCAAAAGTCAGCTTGAAATCAGTTTAAAAGTCTTCAAAGGGACCAGATAGGAACATGGAACAGTGACTCTTCGCTTCTGCCCATCTCAGGGCCCTTCCACGAAGTAATCCATCAATATACAAGATCTTAATTGAGTCTGTGGTGAAAGCTCCTGGTGATTGTTCGAATGCGAGTCAACATTGAAAAAGGAAGCTGTAACAGTCCTCGAACTTACCGCTGAAGGTCAGAGATGGCGGTGATGCGGCTGGACGGAAGTGGGTGACTTCCGTGGGAACTGCTGCTTCCGGTCCGGGGACAACAGGAGAAACAGAGGCGGCCAGCGGAGGTTCCGAAGCGGAGGCCTGAGTCTGCGGTTGGGACAGCCTGCTGTCGCACCAAGGTCTCCAGCTGCTGGTATCGGTTGTTTGCTGCGTGTAACTGCTTCATTAGCAGCGGCAGGGCTTGTTCTTGTTGAGACAACCTGTGGAGCAGATCAGTGAGTGATGTGTCTGTGGGGTTAGCAGTTTGGCCGGATGATTCTGACTAGGGCTGGGCGATATGACATTTTAGACCGTTTTACGATCTACACATCTGACCGTCTGTCATTTTTGAGAGACCTTTTTTATCACGATTCACAGCTCTGCTGTTGAATTTCTGCCTCTGAATGAAAAGGGAACTTACCCCAGGCGAATGACACACCTTTGTTTGACCCTTAACCAATCAGAGTGAGTCATAGTAATATATTAATGCCCCGCTTGTTTTCACCTGTGTGTGAACAAACATGGCTTCGGCCGCGGCTGAGCGACAACGAGGTTTTCGTTCCGAAGAGGAACGCAGGGTTTCCTTAGCGCGCGGCGCTAACAACTTAGCGACGTGACATGTCTCGGAGAAAGCGTAAAAACACGTTGGACGCTTCTTCTGAAGCAGGAAAATAACACTTCTTCTTAAGCAGAGCACAACATCGCCTCGGCTCGTTCACCCTCTGCCGAGCCGGACTGAGCTCGGTCACTGGGTCGTTGGAGCTGCCCCGTGACTGCCTGATGGAAAACCAGCGGGTTTCATCAGACTCGTAGTTTCTTGTTTTTGCTGTATTTTACCGCTCCCTCCTGCAGTCTTCCCTTATTACAATTTAAAATGATTCTGTAAACTCCGTGTATCAATAGAAACAATCTCTGCCTCTGCCAGCTGCAGTAAATGTAGTTTCCAAATAATAAGAGGTGCATTCATCTGTGCATCTCCTTTGATCCACATTAGTGATATTTTCAGCACCAGAACAGTGAAGCAAAGAAAGATTCCTGAGTTTGTTAGTAATTTTATTTATTAGGTGCATCTAACCTGTTCTATTTTTCTCTGAAATGAGATCAAATCAGCGCTTCTATGGGTTGTCTCCAATCTGCACTGGAAATCTTTACTTTATTTAGAGACTTGTTGCAGAAAATACTCCGAATGCGCAGTTATTTGCTACCACAAGCGATCTCTGGTCCAGCCGCACGTCAGAGCCGTATTTGAGCTTAACTATCCACTACATGAGAAACTGGGAGCTACATAGTATTTTGAACAAGTTAATGTTTGCATAATACGTTTGCAATTGACATGTTTGCACTTTAAATATGTTTATGATTTTAATTTATGTTAAGTTACTTGAAAAACGATAAAAACTGATTTTTGTAATTGTTTCTCTCAGGGCTTTTATCATCTCTGGTGTGAGTTTAAAATATAAGTGTGTTAGCACTGTGCTGATTATCCCTGATATGAATAAATGTTTATTTATTCAATGTTTCTCTTCTTTAATACGCAATTGAAGTTATGCTATTCATGGATAAAAAATCGTGATAAAATCGAAATCGTGACAAAATATTGGAAAAATCGTGATATTCTATTTTTGCCATATCGCCCAGCCCTAATTCTGACATGGTTTGGGGAATGTATTGAACCCAAGACATGCAGAATCACACACTCACTGATCTTATAGTAAAAAAAAAAAAAGAATCTTTACTGTAAAACAGGAACTGAAGGTTCACTGGAAAAGCCCAGTGGAGATCGAGAACGGGAACGCAACGTCTGAGGAGGGGAAGCCACCTGGGCTTACGGCATTATCATGCTGATTACCAAGGAGCTGAGAACTTCTCTGACTGCATTCCTTGCATTCCTAAGCAAGGATGTGTGGAATCAACTTGGGCTGACTGGGGCTATCTGGGTGGTGTGGAGCCGATGCTAGTGTGAAAGGGGCAGGCTGGGAGACATTTCAGATGATAGATTAAGGAAGTGTTGCCAGATGTACGATAATTATCGTATTTGTACCATAATTTTGGGCTCTGTACGATGTACGATCAATAGTTTCAAAAATCCTCAAATGTACGATAATTTCACATTGCATCTAGTAACACCATCTTTTGCTGTGGCTTTCCCAAGTCAATTATATAATTTTAAACTGTTCTGAAGTCAGATTTCACCTCAGTGCTTACAGGTTTATAAATGTCTCCTACAAACTAATGAAAAAGAGAAGTTTGAAAATTATGTGAAAAACGCTGAAATCAAGCTATGTGGCTTTTTAGCCCAGCACAACATTGCAATGAGAAGCACAGACCACTTAGTGCAGGTGATTAAAGGCATTCTGCTGTGACAGACAGTGAATCAGATGAGGAGATTGAGATCAGCAACTAGGTGAGTAGGCTGCTGTGTCATTTATTGGGTCAGTTTTTCCACTGCTGTGATGTTTTGTCGCGTGCTTTTAACCTATGTAGAAATGAAATAAATAGGGCTGCGCAAATGTGCATGTTGTGTCAATGCGTGGAGGTCGGAGTGGTGCCGACACACTCTGCACGTTTATAAGCATTATATTACTGGTTTTAAAGATGTTTATTTAAACAGGGCAATATAAAACACCTTCTTTGTTATATTATATTGGAGTGAGAAGTCGTTTATAGAACGTTATTATCAAATTTATAATGCACGATAATTTGTACTGAAAAACGATAATTTAAGCCTCTCTGTACGATATTGTGGGATTTTGGATCTGGCAACACTGGATTAAGGCAGAGCTGTTCAATTCTGGGCATGGAGGTTTGGTATCTAGCACGTTTTGGTTTTAACCCTGCTTCAGTACACCTGATTTTAGTCAGCAGGTGATTAACAGGCTTCTGCAGAGCCTGATGAGCTGCTGCACTGAATCTAGTTTGTTGGACCAGAGAAACCACTAAAACGTGCTGGATACAGGCCCAGATTTGAATAGCCCTGGATTAAGGCTTTAAGAAGACAAATGCACAGTGAGGAGATAGGTTTTGTTTCAGTTCTACAAGCGGACACTGGGGGTGTTAAACGCAAGCCTAAACTCTCTAGTTCCCCTCTAACATCCTGTTGAATGTCAAAAAATAATTAATCAGTATAAAGTTACGACTTTACAAAAAGTATTAAGTGTTGTTCAATTTTTCTTATTAATAAAATAGATATAAAATTTCATTTCTTTAAATGCTGGATGTACAAAGTGAAAAGAAATAGCAAAGTTTTACCATTTTGCATTCAACGTCATTTAAATGATTTATGTACGGCTGCAAAGATCCCAGAGCAATCAGAGTTTCTGTAATGAAGGATGACTTGATGACAAACATTGAAGGTAAATTATGGAGAATTTGTGCCTCTGACGCTGACACTTCACCATCTGGATGTAAACACTTCAACCTATTTAACCACCGGTTGGTTTTGCTTCCTGTCATTGTGTCGCTGTCTGATCTGACTGGTTGTCTCAGAAGGTCAACCTTCCTTTAGCGAGTCGCTCGGTGTTTCCCCTCTTTCCTCTTTGCTAGAACATCAGCGTTCTTCTTTCTGTGTAATGATCTGTTTATGAGTTAAATTATGGATCCTTTGAGAGATTTTTTCTGTCTTTCAAGATCTTTTTCTCCTTCACAGTAGCCAAACTTCTGCAGATTCTGCTTTTGCATCCTGTCTGTTTGTCTAACTCAAGATTAAGATGTAAATTCTTTTCTTTAGTTATTCGTGAAGGGAGTTGTGAATCAGGAGGAGCAGCAGGAGGTGTCGTACCCGCCGGTCCTTCACTGTGTCTTCTGTGGAGCCAGAGGACTGTTCGTGGACAGCCTGATCAGAAACACCTCAGCACATATAGTGGTGAGACTTCAACATTTACCCTTAAATCAAGCAAACCAAACGTTGCATCAAATAATCATCAAAGTGTTAAAACAGCACAACAGCTTAAATTGATAATTATTGTTCAAAAATATTGCAGAAAATCTAAATTACGTCCGTCATGGAGCAAATCCCCACTGTCTTGATGCATCATGCTACGTAAGCCCTCAATATTTTGCAGGAATAACCACTATTTGAAAAAAAAAGGTTCATGGGTCAAAATTCAGGGGCAGCATTCTGGTAAGGAGCCGGCCAACCCGACCCATGTAGGTTTTTGATTGTGATTTTGGACCGTCTAGCCTTCACATGTCTTCTCACCTCTTCTTCAGGATATGTCCTGTTGCCTAGCAACTGCAGCAGCGCTAAATAGAAGTTAAAGTTATAGCTGTTGAGGGTATATGTTATTATCGCGTTAATGCATTCATTAATTAATGAGATAAATAATGTGCATTAACACTTTTTTTTTACTTTTTTTTGAGTCTGCCGTTTGCTCTAAATGGTTTAAAGAGCAATTCACCCACAAATCAACTTTTTATGCTGAAAAACTGTAGACACGTGTACTCAATAATTTGGCCCTTTAGTGAATCTCAGTTAAAATGTAAAAATTCTGCCTAAAACTGACAGTGTTGCGCTGTCTTCAGTCAAAAACTGCACTGCATTTGAATTTAAATCTGCCATCGCTATTGGCTAAGATGGTACCTATGACGTTAGTTGGTACATTATGATGTCACAGTGTCATTGTTAGCCTGTGTGTGCGTGTGTGTATTTGTTAGCGGCCAGGTTGTGAGTCTGGCCAGCATCATAACTGTCAGCTGCTGATTGGCTAGGGAGTGGAGTCGCTGGCTGCTCTGAGCTCTCTACTTGCTGCCTGCAGCCATTTCCTGGTTCAGAGTAGGGATGGGTACCGAATTCGGTACTTTTTAAGGTACCGACCGAATTCCACAGTACCGACCGAGCACCGATTCACGTCATTTCAAACGGTGCCTCGTTTCGGTACCCGTCCTTCATAACGAGAACTTGCCAAGACAGCTGCGCATGCGCAAGAGCGTTATGTCGTCGCTCGCTGCGAGCCAGTTGTAAACAGAGCAGCATGGTAGAAAGAACGCACGCTAAAGCTTGGGTCCACTTCACTAAATGTGATGGGTAACTGGGTCATGATGAAACCAGCGACGACGATCTAAGTGAGACATCCTCATCTTAATCTGCTCCGGTAGGTAAATAAAATGTTTAAGATAATGTTAGCTTGATATGTTAGCTTCCGTTTTGCTAATGGTGCGTTCGCTTTCTCCTCGGAACTCCGAATTCCCGACTAGAAGAACATGAACGCGCTCTAAAGTTTGGCTTCACTTTACTAAATGCGACGGGTGATTGGGTGAAGATGAAACCAGCGACAACGATCTAAGTGTGAGGCATCATCGTTTTAATCTGCTCCAGCAGCTAAATAAACTGTTTAAGATAACGTTAGCTTTATATGTTAGCTGCCATTGCTACCGTTGTTATCAGCTAACGGTGCGTTCGCTTTCTCCTCGGAAATTCTAACTTCCCAGTAGGAAAAATCAAATGAAAAAGGACGGCAAAAGGAATGAAGATACACAGTAAATTTAGTTCACAGTAAAGATGTTTGCTTCAGTTTAATTATCAGCTTATAAAACTACAAGGACGATGTTAAAATACAAACAGTTGAATGTTATTTATCGTGATATTTATCAAATATGGTTATATATTGAGAAAAATATATATTTAATTATAAAAGAGAATTAAAATAATAAACACTCAAAAGTATCGAAAATTGGTACCGTTAAGTACCGGTATCGATTCCTAGGTACCGGGAATTAGTACCGGATCGATTCAAATGTCAAAGGTACCCATCCCTAGTTCAGAGTCTGACAAAAAGCCATAAAACTGAACAGAGTAGGGCTGTCGTAAATATAACGTTATTGCAATATCAGCATGCACAATATACATATCGCAAAAAACAGATAAATATCGCAATGAATGGTCAGCTCAAATGTTTGCTACACATAATGCATTCTGTCAATCAAACGGAAGCATGATGTTTTTTTAACAAATAAAACAGAGCTCTTCACCCATTTGGCCAACTGGGTGGGTTCTCATAGGTTAGATGCCCACCCCCGAGGCGGACACCACTTCATTTAGATGGTTAGCAAACACCTGAGTTAGCAAAACCTGCTCTTTTTGCTGATTCTGCTTTTCCCGGGATCCACGGATTGCCTTTTCTTGTTCATTTTCTTTTTCCCTTTCCTCACATCTTTTGCTTTTCTCACTTTTATGATTTTTTTAGTTTTGTTTTTGATCCTGAGTTAAGTTTATTTATCGCAAGTAATATCGTCATCACAATATTAATCACTGTTATCGAATGGCGCAGGTTTTCCTAATATTGTGCAGCCCTAGAGCAGAGTGTTCATCATCACCACTGTTTTTGTGCTGATTTATGTTTCTATGTAGCATAAAGATCACCTCATACTGTTCACCCATCTACATGTGCTATTTTTGTCTGGAGTAAAGATTGTGTCCAGGGATAGGGGTGATGAGTAAGGATACACCTGGCCCATCCTTGAAATTCGGGGAAAGTTTTTAGGAACATTGAAATTTAGACACTCTTATTGCTTCTCTATGACATAATCAGCCTTTAAACTGTGCCTTGGAAACATGCGGCCCCTGAATTTGGACCCAGCCTTTATGTTGTAGTGGTTTTATTGGTCTTGTTCCATGTTGCAGATTCTGTGAAGCTGATGAAGTGCTTGCATCAGAGGCCACTACTAGGCAGAGGTGTGGACTCGAGTCACATGACTTGGACTCGAGTCATTATTTTAATGACTTCTGACTTGATAAAATCTATAAAGACTTACGACTTGACTCGGACTTGAACGCCAATGATTTGCGATTTGAATCGACTTGCATCTGTTGACTTGATGATGACTTGAGCGCATTTGATATTTTAGCACAAAAATGGCACGACATGGACAAAATCATGAATCATTCTTGGTTCTGGGTTTGATCTTGTACTGCTAAATGCAGCAGCACTTTGTTTATAATCAGTTTCAGTTGCATTTTCTGCTTGTTTGAGCAAATAAATGAAGCTTTAAAGGGACTTTACGGAGTTTTGAATTTTTATGCTTGAAAAATTGTTCCAAAATGAAAGTTGAACCCACATCTTTTTTATCTGTGAATTCAATGCCTTTCGGCGAGTCTCAAATAAAAATGTGGGCATCTTACTGTAAAAAAAAATACCATTAATGTAAAAAAGAAACTCTAAAAAAACTGTTCTCACCCAGAATCGAACCCAGGTCTCCTGCACAAAAGTCTGACGTCTAACTAGATAAGCTAAACCACCACTGATGTTTTTGGTATCTGTAATATTTATATCCTTGATTAGAGCTAAAACAACGTTCAAAGAACGGTTCGGAGCGAAAATGGCTATTTTGTTGCTAATTTGCAGGAAATATCTAGAAGAAAGTAGCAAAGGGTCCTCAGAAATGTAGCTAGGTTCATCACTAGGCGTTAGGAACAGCGACAAAGTCGCTGAGTTGGCACTACCTCACTCTCTGCTGCTAAAGCTACTGATAGCAAATGCTACGGGCTATGCCTGAGCGTGAACGCGCATGAAGCAGCCTGCTCGACCCGAGCAGCTCAGCTCAACTCTCTTTTTCTGTGATTTTACAGAAAAACAGGCAATCACAGTAAAAATGCCAGGGCTCATTCTACAGGACCAGGGCATTGCAGGAGAATGTATGAAGAATAATTTATTATTTCTATACATGTTTTGGCTGTCAAACTTCCATAATGCCCCTTTAAGAAGCTTTATTTCTGGAATTTATTTATTATCATCGTCATTATATTGAAGTTTGACAGATGACTTGATTATGATTTGAAAATTCAAAGTTAAGGACTTGGACTTGACTTGGACTTCCACATCATTGACTTTGGGCTCGACTTGGACTTGGTTGTCTTTCACAGGGACTTGACTCGAGACTTGACTGGAAAGACTTGTGACTTACTTGTGACTTGCAAAGCAGTGACTTGGTCACACCTCTGCTACTAGGTCCTTGTGGGGATTTCTTAGCCATTCTTAGGTGTATAAAAGTCATAATTAGTTACAATCTTACATGTAGATAGCTTCCTGAATGGCCTCGGCTTAAAGAAACAGTATTTATGTCCCTTGGGGCTAGTCAGAGTCAGCTAACACCAAAGTGTATCACCCTCATTTTTAAAGAGCTCCAGTCTCCAGAGCTGTATCATGGAAATGCTGTTTCATAAAAATTATACACCGTTGTGAGTTTTGAATGATCCAAAAGAGGACATGCATTTAAAATAGTCGTGTTTTTTTGACCAAACAGGTTGGCTCACCTGGATTCCTGCTCCTATCAGGGCTTGCGGAGCCTGTTGTACGGGCCTACTCCCTCATTGCAGACCTAGTGGAGAGGTATAAAGGCTCCCAGTCTAGACGCTGGGACACAGGGGAGAGAGGCTTAGGTGAGTCCCTGGACTCACGCCGCGCCTTCAAAACCCTGGTAGAGAAGTGGGACGACAGACACACTCTGGACCTTCTTGTTCTGCCTGGGTCAGTAAAGGAGATCCTGTTGGATTTAGTGAAAGAATCGAGTCTGGGATCAAATCCGGAACTTACTGTTGAGAGTACCAACTCTTGTAGGGATTCTGAACGTAGGCGGGATAAATCCAAAGCCACCAAATTAACACTTCCCGATCCCCTTGGTCCCACTGATCAAAGGGCCGATGGAATGGCTGCAGGCAATGACTCAGCAGTTAATGACTCTTCTTTCAAAGCTTTCATGTTCGCTGTAGGCCCACGAGGGTGGGCGGAAGGGGCCGAGGAAGAACTCCTGCACTCGCCTCAGGAAGTGGGAGAAGAAGTGAAGCTTGAACATCAGGGAGCGTCAGGCGTCAGAGTGGACAACAGGCAGCAAAAAGATGAGGAGCAGGTCTCAAAGGACAACAAGGACTTTTTACTTCTCCTGAAGTTCTTCACAGCCATGGGGTACACGGAGGAAGTTGTGAAACGGGTCCTTGCAAGAACTGGACCCAAAGAAGCATCACAGATTCTGGATTTGGTCCAACAGGAACAGGATCGTAGTGACCGCGAGCAGAAAAATGGTAGTGTCCCAAAAGTGATCAGTCCAGTCAGTATTACTTCAAGTCGAAGAGAAGCCCAACCCTGTGAGACGGAGGATGAGGAAACAGCCACAGAAGGGGTCGAGGTAAGAAACGGTGATGGAGAAATGGGATCGGATCAGGAACAAGAGGAGTGGGGGGCAACCACAAGCCCAAGTCGGGAAAAGGGAAGTCCAGAGATGGAAGGGACAGAACAGGAGGAAGACTTTGTCCTTGGGGTGTTGAAAAAAGCGGCTGTCAGTTGTGGGTACACCGAACAGAACATCACCAAAATCTACAACAGGCTGCCTGATGGATCTACTCACCAGCTGCTGCTGGAGCTCCAGAAAGAGGAGAGCAGAGACACCGACAGCTTAGGGGAAGAACCAGAGATTCAGAAGTTGGTGCTGGAGAAAGGACTGGACGATGGACCTGCTGAAGCTCAGCTAAAACAAGATGTTGAGTTCCTGTTCCATGAACAGAAGAGAGAATCCGGTGAAAAGGGAACGGTAAAGGTGGCAAACCTTTCTCCAAAGTCAAGTTTGTCTGGCTGGACCGATAAATCCCAGCATCTAGCCACCAGCCAGTTTGCCTCACAACCAAAGCAACAACCGCCTTTAAACACACAGACACAACACACCAACCTGCCTGAAGTCAAAGGGCCACCCATGTTTACCTACCCCTCGGCCCTAAATACACACCCTCCTCTTCCCAAACACATCCAGACCCCTCACTGGATCGATCCGTCCACGTCAAAGCAACTCCATCCCCCCAACTCAAAACGCCAGTCAAAACCGCCGCCGCAGCCTCAACCCCATATCTTCACCAACAACGACTCGTCTTCCACTAGAACAAAGGAAAGGCAGGACTTTGTTCCCTCTTCTTCGGTGGTGGTGACAGGGGAGCAGCGCTTCCTGGAGGGTCTGCAGACCCCCTTTGAGCTGAAGCTGACAGACGAGCCAGGAGACCCAGAGCTGAGGACGGTCATCATTGATGGGAGCAACGTAGCCATGAGGTGAGAAGTACTTTTACTCTCTGCTGTCATCTACTCCTGTTGTGTCATTGTTTTTGTTGGAGAACATATCTGAACAGTTTAGAAAACTTCACACTTCTCTTTACGCGTGCCCCTCAGCCACGGCTTGGGTCATTTCTTCTCCTGCCGAGGAATCGCCCTGGCCATCCAGCATTTCTGGGAGCGCGGTCATCGGCACATCAGTGCTCTGGTGCCACAGTGGAGGCAGAAAAGTGACCAAAGAATCAAAGGTAACACTTTGTCATGTCTTTATTAGAGCGGGACGATTGCAGAGACGTTAAACGAAGGGTTGCAGGTTCAAGCCCCGCTCACTCAGTTGCAGTCGTGCCATGGGGCAAGACACGTCACCCGCCATGTCTGCTGGTGTTGGTAGGAAGGGACCAGTGGCACCTAGAATGAATGACAGTCCCACTGTCAGTAACCCTAACCCTAGCCCAGGGCTGCTGTGGCTCATCACCGCATGCCTGGATGAATGACTGCTGTGTTGTAAAATGCTTGACGGGGTTCTAGGACTCTAGAGGGTCCTTTACAAATACAGGCCACTCTTGTATTGATTTTTCAAAGCAGAAGTGTCGGCAAAGACGTGTCGATGCCTCGCTTCACCGTATTTGATACTTTTCAAAATGAAGCTTCAACATCACACACATTGTGCCAGTCTTTAATTCAGGGTGGGGAGGTGTGTGTGTGTGTGTGTGTGTGTGTGTGTGTGTGTGTGTGTGTGTGTGTGTGTTGGTCAGAGGCGGTTTTACCATTAGGCATAGGTAGGCGGCCGCCTGGGGCCCCCTTGTGTTGGGGGGCCCCCTAGCCCTGACCGCCAGCACCCCTCTGTTAATGCCACAATATTCTTATTACCAACCTGTGGCCGCAGACAGGATTGGACATGCGCACTTCTCATTACCACAATTCCTGAACCGTTCAAGATATCATTAAAATTCCAAAAGTGCTGAAAAGATTAAAAATGGGGCTTTTCGTGCATATACAATACATTACGGTAGCCACCGGGATTCCCTGTCTTGAGCGCACCGAATCACAACAAAGGTTGAGAGACGTGCTGAGTTTGTCATCCAAAATGCTCTGTTTCATAACTTTTGAATGGCTGATCAGATCCCGGAAATTCCAACGGTTCCTAAAAGTACATAAAACCAGCTTTCCAACGATCTATAGCATGAAGCAATCAGAGTTAGGGAAAATATCGCTACGAGGGGAAATCCTGCTGTACAGCCTGATTGAAACGGAGCGCAGCGCCGCGGTGAAAGCGGATAACGGAACGGGGAAGCTAATTAGCATAAAAAGCCAGCAAGAAATTATGGAAATGCCTCAAAGAAAATCAACACAATCCATTAGGTGTCCCAGAAGGCCAGATCTCCGGTGAACCAGGATATGAACGTTTGTTCAGTCTTTATTTTTTATTTTTTTATTTGAACAACCCTCAACTATTTGCTAATTGTAAGATTCAGCATCATTCCAGTATTATTTATCTTTTTACAATAAATAATTATTTTTGCTAAAACAAATGTTTTTGGTATAGCAGTGCATGGTGTGCCAGAGAAGCACCCCATGGCAGTGTGAGGTGTGTTCTGCCTGCAGCTGGAGAGAAGCTGCTTCAAGGTCTACCACATCAAATAAAAACGTCTGAAAGTTTACAAAAATAGTCTTAAAAACTGCTACAAGACACCAAGGTTCAAACTTTTTTAAGAATGGATGCATTTCAGTTCAAAGTTTAAATTGTTTGCCCAGTAAGTTTGAAGTTCCTGTTCAGTAATAACTGTAAAAAATTCAAATCCGTTTTTTGCCTTTTTCACTTTTAAGCTGATTTTTTAAAGGCTGTAATAGAAATACATTCTAAATAGAAGAAGAAGAAGAAAATATCATTTCTATAGCGCCTGTCAAGATAAAAATCACGAGGCGCTTCACAAAAATAAAAATATAAATATAAAAAAGCATTTAGAAAATGTTTAAAAATATATTTAAAATGAGCAAAAACAGGCAATTGGGATTTAAAAGAAAAAATGTTAAGAAAGAGAGAGAGTGAATAGGAAAGAGGGAAATCAGTGAGGAAGGTGGAATAGGTGGGGAGAGCAGAATAAAGAGAGAGTGGTGAAGAAGATCGTGCAAAAGCCAGCTTGAACAAGTGAGTCTTCTGCTGCTTTTTAAAGGAGACCACTGAGTCCACTGATCTCAGGCTCAGGGGGAGAGAGTTCCAGAGTCTGGGGGCCACAGCAGCAAATGATCTGTCACCTTTGACCTTTAGCCTGGTGCTGCACAACCAGTAGGCTTTGATCACTGGACCTCAGGGACCTGCTGGGGGTGTAGGGACTAAGAAGATCACCAATGTAAGATGGTGCTTGTCCGTGTAAGGCCCTATAGAACCAGGATTAAGAAATGAACCCTAAAGTTGACTGGCAGCCAGTGAAGCTGGAGGAGGAGTGGCTTCACGTTTCTTTTCGTGAAATGTTATAGTGGTTTGGAAATACAAACCATACACTGAAAGCTGAGGTTGTTCTGAAAAAAAGGAGAAGAGTTACACACACTTTGCACTATTTATTACAATTTTACAGCCATAAGATTAAAAAAATATACCAGGCGGCCCTGTTATAATTATGGTCATAAGAGGGTTATTAAGACTGCGATGCACAAACAGGAAGTGATTGGTAGTCATTCCACTCCAATCCAGTTGGTGGCGGTAATGCACCAAATTGTTGTTTGCCAAGTGCCATAAGACCACAAATAAGAATAAGAAGAGAGGCGGGAACATTCGTAACAAACTCAAAGCGATAGTCAAAACATTAAGCATGACATGAAGTTATCCTAGTGGCTCCAATAAGAGAAAGAAGCATCATGCTTCATAAAAGCTTTTATCTTCACTTCTGAAAGTGACGTTGTTTTTCGATGTAAACATCAAAAGGAAGCAGAAAGGAAAGACTATGGAAAATGTTTAAAGGGAGGAAAACAGACCAAAATGGAAAATAGAAAAAAAATAACTAAGGCTAAAGCACAGGAGCGCTGACAGAAAAAAGAAAGCAGAGCAAATATTGAAAGCACTCAAAGGGCGGGAAATACAGGAAAAAGAGGAGGACTAATAAAAAGGGAAAATAACTCATGTCAGAAGAGGGGAGAGTTTCGCAAATCCAGTTAAAGGTAAGATTGTCAAAAGTTTAGTGTAAGGGGCCCCATGTCTGTGTTCGCCTTGGGCCCCCAAATTGCTAAATCCGCCCCTGGTGTTGGTGACAGGAGATAAATTCTAACTTGTGGGTTGAAAACACAAATCAGATCCAAGAGTGTTTATTGTGCCGAGTGTGTTCTCAGGAGAAGCGTGGGTGTTTCCCCTCTGAGTAGATACAACGTAGTTTATTATGTTCTCCTCTCCCTCAGAGCAACACTATCTAACAGAACTGCAGAAGCTGGGCCTGCTCTCCTACACCCCCTCCAGAGAGGTCTACGGCAAGAGGATCAGCTCGTACGATGACAGGTCGAGGCTCTGCTGCCTGATAATGTTTGTCTAAATCACTATTAGAGTCAGGTTCTGGAAACACTTTAATGAGCCTACCCTCTGCCCACAGACTGATTCTGCAGCTTGCCCAAAAGACAGATGGAGTGATCGTTACCAACGACAACCTGAGAGACCTGTCTGATGAGTCGCCTGTATGGAGGGACATCATCAAAAAAAGGTTTCACTTAAAGATTGTTTTTAATGCTAGCACTAATGAGCGAGAGTTATTATAGCAATTCTTAAATGACAAAAAGGTATTTTTTGCTTTGCTAAATTAAAAAACAACTATCGCATTGCATTTAAAAACAATGTAGGCACTGTCTGGAGTCCTTAAAGATGAGGGCAGGTTGAATGTTTAAATCTGACAGCCATGCCTTAGCATATTTAGCTTCCTTTAGTCCCCCTGTATGGAAGCCCACTCTCGCCACTCTAATAAAAAAGGAATCTTCTATCCCATAATTATGACTCATCTATAAAGATAAATATGAGATAGCTAAATCACAATAATGGAAAACAATATTTTTTCATCTAATACATTTTTGATTTCTCGTTATTTTTATTTATTTGTTATTTACATTTTTTGTCAAATTAATCTTCTATCTTGAACTTATGACTTAGCTAAGTCATAAGTAGGAGATATTATCTCATTTTTCTATCAGAGTGGCAGGAATGGGCTTCCATACTTTAGTCAGTCTTCTCTTTATATTAAAACTGGGCTTTGCTAAATAAATAACTACTATCTTTCTTGTTCTAGAAAGCTTTTTGTAATGGTCTCTATTTAGAGAACAGTCTTAATGTTCTGCAGGACTGATAAGCTAACAGCTAGTTTAAAGGGACTTTTCAGAGTTTTGAATTTTTATGCTCGCGATTGCCCCCTCAGGCCAAAAGCGTAACGGCAGCTTCAGTTGGAGGCTCGTGCACGAGGCGCGCATGCTGTACGTGCACACTCCTTAACAAAAATAACAGCTGAGAGGAAGCTCAGCTTCACAGAGCTCTGAGAGCTGACAGTCCCTTGTGTGTGTGTGTGTGTGTGTGTGTGTGTGTGTGTGTGTGTGTGTGTGTGTGTGTGTGTGGTGTGTGTGTGTGTGTGTGTGTGTGTGTGTATGTGTGTGTGTGTGTGTGTGTGTGTGTGTGTGTGGTGTGTGTGTGTGTGTGTGTGTGTGTGTGTGTGTGTGTGTGTGTGGCCCGGAGGACAGAGGACAGGAGAACGCGCAGCTAATTAATTAAATAATTTGGTTCCGTACCTTTCTCTTCAGCACAGCCGACAAAGGTTTAAGATGGGTCAGTCCTGCATGCTCAGATCATTCCCTTCCCTTGCTTGAAAAATTGTTCCAAAATGAAAGTTAAACCCACATCTTTTTTATCTGTGGATTGAATACCGTTCAGCGAGTCTCAAATAAAAATTTGGGCATCTTACTGTAAAAAAAATATATCATTAATGTAAAAAAGAAACTCTAAAACAACTTTGTTCCACATCCAGAATCGAACCCAGGTCTCCTGCACAAAAGCCTGAAATCTTACAAGGCGAGCTAAACCGTCAGTGGGGTCTTCTGTATCTGTAACATTTATATCCTTAATCACAGCTGAAACAACGTTCAAAGAATGGTTCGGAGGGCTATGCCTGAGCGTGAACGCGCATGAAGCAGCCTGCTCGACCCGAGCAGCTCAGCTCAAATCTCTTTTTCTGTGATTTCACAGAAAAATAGGCAATCACAATAAAAATCCCAGGGCTCATTCTACAGGACCAGGGCATTGCAGGAGAATGTATGAAGAAGAAATTTATTATTTCTATACATGTTTTGGCTGTCAAACTTCCATAATACCCCTTTAAGTGCAGCCAAGTTTAAAAGGTGTTGTCTTAGAAACACCTCTGATCTCCAATGCATTATAGGAATCATTGCAAAGGTGTTTGGAGATGAGAGCTGTTTTAAGACAGCAGTAATACACTGTATGTTTAGAACTAGCTGTTAGCTTATCAATCCGTAAGGAAGTAAATGCTACTTAGTCAAGCTTAGCGTATTCAGGAAGCCATCTTCTTTATATAGTAAGTATTTGTAACTTTTACATACAACCATGCCTAAAAGTCTGACTCCTGTGTTCCCTCTTGTTGCGCTGTTAGACTCCTTCAGTACACATTTGTTGGAGATCTCTTCATGGTCCCAGATGATCCTCTGGGCAGAGGAGGACCCCACCTGGATGATTTTCTACGTTCAGAGCACAGGTTGGGTTCTTTTGTGCTGCTTTTTGTCAATCATCACCAAAATCTAGAATTAATGCTGTGTGATTTTCCTATTTTAATTCTTTGTTCTGTATCAGGACTCCTGATCCAGGAAATCACTCCTTTGCCGGTTCAGCCTCCCCTTTCCTTCCCTTCAAGAATCCACGCTCCCAAACAGAAGTCCTGAATTTCCGCGACCGCACACCTGGTGGCGCTCTGGATTCATCAGGTGGAGGCGGGCGGGGCAGGGGGAGAGTGCACGGAAAGGGGTGGGATGGAGGGGTCCAGCACAGGCCTGGCAGCAGGGGGATGATGGTCGTTCCAGACAGAACCCCTGAAGAAACAGCTGACCTGAAAGGGCAGCTTTTGTGTGTTTTCCTGGATCAGGACAACATGGTGACGCTGGTGCTGCAGTGCCACCCGGCAGAGAAAGACATCAACGTCCTTTCTGATCTGATCTTAGAGCAGCAAAAGAACTAGAAGTACCAGAGTTTTCTCTTTAACCTTAGTGTTCCGCTAACCACTTGCGTTTCCTCTAAAGCAGCACTGATCCAGATCAATATTTAAAAAAAAACTTTTGCTTCACTGCAAAAAGCAATTCATACCTGCTCTAATATCCACCTGTGGACGGATCACTTCCTACCTCTCTTCTGTCAGAGTCTTAATCTTCAGCCAAAGCTTGGTTGACCTTTGCCCCACACTGCAAACCATGCATCTTAGTCTTCAGATAGCAGCTTAACAACTGGGACCACTGGTATTCCACAACAATCCAGTCATGTGAAACACTAGACTACAACCGCTGTGATGAACTGGTGCCCATAGGGACCATCTCCACCCATGACCCTGGACGGGATCGTGCGGGGTGAGAAACTGGGTGACTAGTTGGACACCAATGACTTTGGCTTGTTAACACCAACAGTTATGGTCTGTTGTGTCTGATCTGACTATGAGAACGAAGTATGTTCAACTCTTTGGTGTAAAAGAATCTAAAGTCTGTTTGTAAATCACATTTTCACTGACGTCTTATTGAATTACACACAAAACACAATAAATTACTCCAACCAGGCTGATAACGTTAGGATTTTGAGGATTAGGGTTCAAAGTAGTGAATTCCAGTTTTTTGGTACAAAGCACTCTGAGAACTGTGAACCCTGTAATTAAAACTATAGTCAGCATGCAGACGTTTTCCTCAACAGCTGGTTTTAACCTTTTCAGATGCTATTTTTTGCTAAATGTGTTTTTATGATGGGTTATTTAACAGCGGCAGACCTAATGGGTGGTACTGAACATGTGTACATAGTTCTTAGATGTGATTTAGAAAAAAAAACACTGAACTAATAACATTGATACTCGTTATAGTTTATTTTTATATTTTACTGCTCATGGGTCATGCTGAGACAATAAAGATCATACATGATGTGTTTGAAAAAAGGTAGTTTTGTTTATCATTCATCACTTGTAAGAGCTCCACTCTTTTTTCTTTCACCTTTATTGATTTTATTTTATATGTGTTATTAATACGGGAACAACGGGTAAAACCTTCTGGGGTTTTATGTCTTTAAATAGAAACATAGAACTCTAAAAGGCCACATGTAGTGAATCTAATTATTTTACATGTCGACCTGTTCTAACTTTATCATGTGGAAATGATGACTCGGTATTATTAAATGTTGAAAGGTCTTGGGTGTGGGATGTAATTCTAGTTTTTGGTTTAGAGGAATTCTTTCTAGTCTCCGTTTTAAACACTTTTGTCTTTCTCAAACTGAAAACACCTGAATGAGAACAGCTGATTCTGGGACACACGGATCTGTTTCATTTAAGGAGGAGAACTGATGTGAAGAGCTGGAAGCAAAAGTGGTCCCAGGGCTACATCATGTTAGAAAAACAACCATCTGTATTATAAAATAATATAAAATTTTTGTTATCAGGATGCGACGAGTCGGGGAGTATCGGATTTTGAGATGTTTCTATGTGGTGTGAAGTTTGAGACAAGAGTTGTTGATTTATTGTATTTATTTGCCAAATTGTTAAATATTTAACAAGGAAGGGTTTGTGTTGACTCGTTTGTGCTTTGCAGTTATCCGTTGTCTCCACCAGAGGTCAGGCTTCACCTGAACTGTGAAGATGGGCGTCACATGTATAATGAACCTTTACACATACGTAGGTACCACACATTGGTGACCACATTTCTCAACACAAACATTCACTGACAAAATAAATATACAAGAGCCAAAGATGTTGGGGTCAAAGTTCATCCAATTAATGTTGGATCGGTGAAACACTCAAAGAACCTGTCTGCACATGGAAAGACCTCACCGTGTCGGGTCTGGACGGGCGTTGTGTCGGAGTCCCTCAAATGGCTTCCAGGGGTCGCCTGAAGTCACACCCACGTAGCTCCCAGATATGGCCCAGTTCAAATGACACCAACTGATTATGCTGCTTTTTGACTTGATTCTCCATTTCTGACAGTCTTGGGGACATCTGAATAATGTAACGGCTCTAAAGGTAATCTCATCAGATAATCCTGCCTTGTGTGGTGTACTAAGAGTGCTCTGGTCTGCCCGGAAGGACTGCTCCAATCATAAAACAGGGTTATTCAGCATGTTGGTCTGATTTTTTTTTTAGGATAAACGAAGGTGCTGTCTGTTGATTGGTGGTGTGGTCAATCAGCGAGGTGACAGAAGCGTGTTACTCACTCCTCGCCTGTTTGTTTACTTCAAAGTCAGGTTTCCCATCTGACGGGGGAACGTTTGTGTGGGGTGTAGTCTCTGCCGTGGGGCAGCGCTGCAGGACCACAGCTGGTAAATTCTAGATGTTTTTATCACCAGAAACAAAATTCATCATTGAATAGGATATGACATCATCAGCCCATGCCTCCTGGTTCCAAATTCAGCCATCCGCCATGGGTCATCCAGACGTGCTTATGGGATTCCACAACTTAGTGTCTACAGGGGTTTCATATGTCAACAAGAGTGGACAGAACCATTTGGACAAGTTTGGGTGTCCTAATGTACCTCATGCTTCCAACTGGCCCTCTGGGACGTCCGTCTGTCCCACATGAGAAGCCGCTGATTATACCACCTCCAGCCTCATACACATGCACTTCAACCCCAGCTGTCTGGTACGTCTAGGAGGTGTTTTCTGAGTCTGATGACCTTTACACTTTGTTTTGACCGGCACTACATCTCCCATCCTGATGCCAACATGATTGCCTCCTGGGTGCCTGTTCCAGTCTATCCAGCTCCTTCCAAATCAGATCATTTTCTTCTCTGGCAAATTACATCCCGATTGGATCTGTCTTTCTGGGCGCCAAATGTTCTTTGTGCCCATTAACGTGCTGCGTTATGCTGCCGTGTTTATCTGAGTCAAGAGGAGCAGCTTCCTGTTTCTGTCGGTTGCCAACGTTTCATATTCAGTTCCCCCAAAAAAGGAAGCTCTGGGGAGAGATTTTACACCCCGTGTGTAGAAACTTCCACTGTGAGCAGACACGTTTAAAGTCAGCTCCGCCTGTGGGTTTGAAGCAAAACTGATTCAGTCGAGTTAGTCAGACTTTTTTTTATTTTAATATTTTTCAGTTTTCTCCGCTTCAGTTCACTTCCGCTCTGCTATTTTAACTTTATTTTGATCTTGTTTGTGTAAAGCATGAAAAATGATAACAGAGTATGCAGTAGTGCTTATACAGGAAGGCCTTTTCTAACTTCACACACACACATACATAAAGACTGGAGCCGAGTCTTTCCAAGAATAGATGCTGATTCGACTGGTTCGGTGAGGTGTTGAACAATAGAGAAAATAGACAGCATGTCTATTTTAGGAATAGCCTGACCAAGGCAGAGATGGGTTTTAAACGGGTTTGGTGCATAAGAGAGGGATTAAAGGCTGTGGCACTGTTCATTCAGCATGTGATGTTGAGGCGGGACATTTTAAGAAATCTGCACTGACAAAGAAATACAGCCGGTACGTGAAAACCTGGAAACCTGTTTATCCGATTACACGGATGTCTCAAAGGTTCATTACCGGTGGGCGTTTAGTCCCTAAATGACTTACTGCGAAGCCTCTGCAGGCCGAACCTTCGCTCCACACTGTCCGTATGTTGCAATAAAACGAGCAGATGCACTGTCCACGACACAGGCTGAACGCTTGTGTTTGCTGATGCCATAAAAAAATACGATGTGTGGCAATATGCAGAAATATTGCTGAACCAATAAAGTTATTTGATTTAAAGAAAAGAAGAAAACATGAGAGACGGGAGGGAGAACCGAAATGTGTCAGTTCATGTTTCTGTGAACCACCATCACACCTGCTGTAGAAAGCTTCCTGAACGGCTTCAGTTTGGGGGAATAGAGTTCACGTCCGACATGGCTGATAGGCTAACAGCTAGTCCAAATTGAATGTACATAGCAGTTCATGCAAGGGTATTTGTAAAATCGTATCACCATTGCCAGTTTTATATTAAAAGTGGGTTAGAAGATGTTTTTGTGAACATTTTTGCCATTTTGATTGAAATGCTCTTCACATACAAATAGAAACCAATAAATTAAATTTTTTTGCCATTGAAAGGAATCGTTTTAATCGCCTCTGACACGTGCAATGCTGGAAAACCCTCATCCGATTACTGTGAACATCCCGTTCTTAATGACTGGATCGTGATCCACACAACAAACTGCCCTGAGGTACTTCTGCACATACCCCTCTTTGTGCACGATCTCAGCTTGTAGCAGCTGAGCAGGAAACAAAGGGCCAAAGCCAGTACCAGGCCAACCATCTTAGCTGGCACACTAAATTGTTATATTGATTAGACGGCCTGGGGTTCTAGTGTAATAAGCCCAGTCCTTCCTGCTCGATTTCTGCATCTCTCTCTTGAACTTCCAGTGGAGACAGAGTCCTGAGAACCCCTGACCAACACCAGACCATGTGGAGTCCGTCAGAAGCTTGGAAGCTCCACAGCTGTTAAAAGGTGGGTTTTATAAGGATCAATGGCAGAAAAGGTGCCAACAATGAGTCGAAAAGCTAAGATAACTCCACGTTTTTATGGTTGTCTGTCAGTATGCGTTACATTCTCCTGTATTCTTGAGGTGTGGCCTGGGGGGAGGGGCCTGGAAAAAGGGGGATTGAGTTTTTTTTTTTTTTTTTTTAATGTAGCTTGCTCCAACTGCTTTATCCAGTTCCTACCTAATGAGGATTTACATTTAGCTCTGTGTTTATTTGTGAGGGTGAATATCACCAGCAGTAGCTAAACGGAGCTCTTCTGATGCATCCGGGAGACAAATGCAAACAGGAGCGGACTGGGATGAAAATTCAGCCCTGAAATATCTCTCTGTCCAGCCGTCTGGGGGGGGGGGGGGGGGGGGGGGGGTGCGGGTTGTGACTGCATTACAGAGGCTGTTTTTAAAGCTGCACAGTTGATCTTTAATAACTTTGGTTAGTTGTAATTTACAGCTGATAGAACCAGAAACGTCCACAGCATATTTCACTAACATAACAAAAGTAACTGAGTTTATAATGAGGATCACACTTTAGATAAAAAGACATAAATACTGGCTGCTGCAGTGAGAAATAATCGTTTTTCAGGTCAGGAGGGCGTCGAACTCTGCAGAAGCCTGTTAAAGCGCAAGTCACCCCCATGTCAATTTTTTTAGCTGATAAACTATAAATGAGTGTCTAATCATGCTGTAGACACGTGTAGTCAATAATCTGGCACTTTAGTGCATCTTAATTCAAATTAAAATATTCTGCCTAAAACTGTCAGTGTTGTGCCCTCGTCAGGAAAAAAACTCAGCACTATATTTGAATTTAAATCTACCACCGCTATTGGCTAAGATGTACCCTATGACGTTAGCTAGTACTATATGATGTCACAATGCCGCTGTGAGCCTGTGTGTGTGTGTTTGTTAGCGGCTCTGCCCTCTCGGTTTGCCAGGCAACGCCTCCTTGTGGTGCATTTTTCAAACAGGAAATGGGAGTGGAGTTAGAACCTGGTAGGGGGTGACTTGCTCTTTAATCACCCACTTATTAAAATCAGGTGTGTTGAAGCTGAGAAACAACTAAAACATGCTGGATAGGGGTTCTTGAAGACCACCAATGAACTAATGGTTAGTCTGAACATAGCCAATGATAAAATGTAATGTTCCTGTATGAATCCGCTCCAAATTTCAGTAAATTAAATGGTAACATTTGCATTCAGAGGTGGATGGGACATCTGAGGAGAATCCACACCCCCCACACCCCCCCCCCCCCCCCCACACACACACACACACACACTCGGCGATCCCCCATCGTAGGATTGAGCAGGCTGCATGTACCCACCCATCGGCGATCTGAAGCCAAGAGTTCTCCACCAGCCAGGGTATGGTTTAGCTAGATAAATGAGAATGGAAGTAAAGGACAGACTCGTTCTTAATCCAGACGGTCTGGACCATATCCCCCCCCCACCCCAGCTCCACAACTAGCAAATGTCCAGTCCACCTCTGAATGCAAATGTTACCATTTAATTTACTGAAATTTGGAGCCGTTTCATACAGGAACATTACATTTTATCATTGGCTATGTTCAGACTAACCATTAGTTCATTGGTGGTCTTCAAGAACGTTTTAGTTGTTTCTTGGCTTCAACACACCTGATTTTAATAAGTGGATGATTAAAGAGCAGGTCACCCCCTACCAGGATCCAACTCCACTCCCACTTCCTGTTTGAAAAATGCACCACAAGGAGGCGTTGCCTGGCAAACCGAGATGGCAGAGCCGCTAACAAACACACACACACACAGGCTCACAGCGGCATTGTGACATCGCATAGTACAAGCTAACGTCATAGGGTACATCTTAGCCAATAGCGGTGGCAGATTTAAATTCAAATGTAGTGCAGAGTTTTTTTTTTCCTAAAGAGGGCACAGCACTGACAGTTTTAGGCAGAATATTTTAATTTGAGTTAAGATGCACTAAAGTGCCAAATTATTGACTACACGTGTCTACGTGTCTCAAACCCTCTTCAGCACTTTCCCCAGGCTGAGCCATCTGACAGCTGTGTGGAGTCCTCCAAAAGAGCGACAAACTGTCTGTGATTCATCGCCCGTGCCCTGATGAAGTTTGTTATTTTAGTAACAACATCAGTAACATGGTTGATTTTTAGCACTGACTTGCACAACACATGTTGGTGTATAATTCAATGCAAAAACACCAATTTTTGATCTGCATCGATTTCTGTCACTTTATCTTGCATGTGTTTCAAAAGTCCGACATTTTTCCCTGTAAGATTTGGACAACCGTCTGTTGTGACCAGGGGCGTAGCACCAAATTCTGGGCCCTAGGTACAAGTCTTCTAGGTGGGCCCCCATGCTCAATTATTTAATATCTCTCTTACACATTTTTTGTCATGCTATAAGACAAGATAATAAATATGATCTTAGTTTAACCTCTATATTGAGCAAATACAAATGCCAGCATAATAAAAGTGAAATGCCCAGACTTCACATATAGTTATTTTTATTTGCCAACAATGTGTTCAAACAAAAATCCTGGAATTTATTTTCCAGTAAATGCCCACTGACGGGTCTTCATGTTAGCAAAATCACTTATGAGATCTTTAAAGTCCAATCCTTTGGCTAATTGGCTTTCAATAGAAAGAAGAGCTAGGCTGTTCAGTCTATCCTGGGACATTGTTGATCTCAAATAATTTTTCACCAGTTTCAGTTTGCTAAAAGCCCGTTCACCCCCAGCAACAGTCACAGGTAGTGTGCAAAATATCCTCAGTCCAATACAAACTTCTCCAAAAATGCTCTGTAATTGCATCCTGTAGATGGCATTAAGCAGCTCAAGAGGAGACTGAATGTGTGGAAATGTGGCACCATATATTGTTCTCAGGTGTAGCATCTCATTCTCAAATTCAGCTGTGAGATCCTTGTAATATTTTCTCATCAGTGCCTGGCATGATATCTTCATCTGCTCGTCAGTCATGTCTGTCATAGTTCATGATGTTAAGCTTTGCTAATACTGATATATATTGATATATTAAATACATATGGCATGAAATAAACCAGGTTCTCTCTGTGAATGTAATGTACTCTAAATTTTATAATCCCTGCATTATCAGCCAAATTATAAGATTGTCTGTTTTCAAGATCAAATATAAAGACATTTAAAATAGGCTTAAAATATCTAACCAAGTCAATAACAATCCTCTAACACCAGTGTCATCTTGCTAAATGAAAAACA